AAAGAAAATCTAGAAGAACATTGAAAAGAAGGTTACAGGATATGAAGCCAGAGAAGCAGTTTGGCTATCAGGATAGAAAGGAAGGAGGTCATGGCTATTTAAAAGCTGAGGAGAAAAAAACACAGTATGGTGTGAAATGGCTCTCAGGTGGTCATATGACTTCCAGTTTATGGGCCTGGGTGACAAGAATGTTGATGGCAGCTGTATTGTGGATAATGGAGAGGGTAAGCAGTGAAAGAAAATGGCCCAGTTTTTGTGTAGTGTGGCCACATCAGCAGCCCTAACTTTCCCTCCCTTCCTTTTAAATGGGCCACCTCTTGCATCTCCGTGACAATGCTAGGTCAGTGGTCAGAGCAATCAATATGCTTCTGTTATTCTATTCCCAACTGTGCTTTTGACAAGGGCCAGTATGACTTTTGACTTTAACCTCTGTCTCAGTTTCGTATCAGCACAATCAGAATAATAATACTTTACTTCATAGAGGTGTTATGAGGCTTAATTAATTATTATCTGAAGGATTCTTGGCAGGAAGTTGCAATAGCAATTCAAATTAAAGCTAATTCTCGGTGTTGTCAAGACTGAACATTATGCTAAATGTCTCATAAAAAGTAAAAGAAAAATAGATTTGTCTTTGAAATAGATTTAAAATTAATATAGTATAATCATCTAGGCAGTGCGTGTGCTTCCACAGTACACAGAACTGGAACTGTTCAACTGTATGTTATAGCCTTTGTACTGTAACATTTATATACAATTTATCAATGTGTTAAGTGAGGTGCTGTGTTGCTTTTTCAACATAGCAAGTGCCATACAGTACCGAGAAAACGTTGCTAGGAACGCACCAGATGTCACATACTGCATTGTAGGAATCCCATCAGGTTAGGATAGAAAGCAGTGCAAAAAACAGAGGGAGGCCTGATCATGCTAGCATGTTTGTCCCTTCATGGTAACTTTATTTAATTGTACTGATGACATGTTCAATCATTAAAGGAAAGCTCATCAAGTCAGGAGACAATACTTCCACAGAAGCTGGATCTTCTGGGTCTGCCCAGAATAGGCAGAAATGATCACTAGCCTCACCCCTTGGAGAACTAAATATAAAATGAGTGTTCTTGCATGAGTTTCCATCAGTTTCATCATATCCTTGCTCTCATCCACACCCATATAAACAAAACACAAACAACCTTGAAACTAATCAAACTAGCTTTGTTTAGCATGCAAAGAAAGAGAGATTGATATTATGATATCAATTTCTAAATCTTTGGGAGACATTCTGATATTATCTGTCTTGGTACTTTACTGTCCTGCACTGCAGAGGTATCTGAGCCCCTCCCAACTAATTACAAAGCAACAGACAATTACAAATATCAGCTTTCCCTTATTCTCTCTCTCTTTCCTTTGCATGAGTAAAAATGAAGATGAAGATGTTCTTTTTTAATTAATGGGGTTAAGTACAGGCAGTCCCTGGACTTACAACACAATTGGTTCCTGAAAATGGTGTCATAAGTTGAAACGTTCCAACTCAGAACTGATTTTCCCATATGAAACAATGTTATAAATGGGGATTGGTTCCTGAACCAAGGCCTGATACCCTGTTTTCACCAAAAATAACCCAGAATTTTGTATGCGATCAATTATAAATGAGTTATATAGCTACATTAATGTATTTATATTGTAAATAGCAATCATACTGATTTGGAAGGACTTCTTTGAGGTAACTTTGCTGGACTTTTTGAAAGGCTCTCGGTTGGACTTTTTGAAGGGTTCTTGGCTGGAGTCTTCTCAGGAGTCTTGGTTGCAGGTTTTTCTGGAGTCTTGTCTGCTTTCTTAAAGAAAGTGTCCAAGGAAGTTTGGACAGACATTCTCCAGGGAAATGGGTGACACAGTGACTTATTCGCTGTCATGGCATCACATCAGATCAAGCGTTGTAAAGTTGACACTGACATCAGAAAGTTGAAACAGGGTGTCAATTTAGAAACATTGTAAGTGCAAAACATTGTAACTTGAAATGTTGTAAGTCGAGGACTGCCTGTAGTGAGGTGTAGGTGTGTCCGAAGAGCTACTGCAAAAAGGCTGAGTTAAGTTTTCATTTGGTTTTGGACGTTCTGTGGTTTTAGGTGCATTTGTTTCTGGGTGTCTTTTCAGGCGGCGATGAGTTACAGTCTTGCCTAGTCCCCATGACAGTATGTGCCTTGTAGTCACAAGTTTCCTCTGACAGCTAACAGAGGCACTGGTACAGGAAAATGCACTGGTCAAGAGAAGCTGTAGTTACAGAGGGGGAGGTGAACTCTATATTAGGTAGGGCCAATCCTGTGGAGGACTCTGCAGTAGGCAAGAGACCTCTAAGTAGGCTGTTGAAATCCTTGCCCCACTGAAGTTAGTAGCAAGATTCCTATTGACCTCAGTAGGGCCAGGGTTTCAAGGGTGAAATCTGATTGGGAGGCAATATGAAGAGATGGGCTGATGTGTTCACATATGGCTAAGTAAACAGGCTGAACAATTTTGTAACTGCTTTTCATGGTGTGTATCTTCATTCCTAGAGATGTCTGATAGGATAGCCTTATAGGTAGCTGTAAATGAACATGATGTTTTGGGGATTTTTTTCTTGTCCTAGATATATGAGAATCCAAAAGCACTGAGGAATTTTAGATATGAATGATTTCATAGTCACCAGGCAGATGCTCCCATGACGTAGCATTAAGGAGGAGACAAGTTGTTAGTACTTCCCTTTACCGACCTGCATTACCTGTGCCTAACTTGGGTTCAGCTGCAGCCAGCTGCCCTTCATTCCTGTTCTGATCTTCACATGGTATTGTAAGACGATTACCCTATCTATATATCCTGTAAGACAGACATCAGGGTGAGTATCATCTATGTGCCACTTCTGTTTAAATCTGGGTTGACCAACAAATTCCTTCATACTGAGCCTCAGAGGCATCATTCAGGGAGCAGTTCTGGAAGCAGGCAAACTTTTGCCCACCATATTCCCATAGGTTTAGTATTTCCAACCTGTGCTTTAGCTTCTTGGAGATTGGACAGGGGCATATATTAACCTGAAGTCTGAAATACTGCAGAGTTGGATGCCCATGGATTCATTTGTGTGTCAGTTTGCTGGACCAAAAAAATAACCACCAGAGCAATAAGTTCTTGTTCTGTAGATCTAGGTCATATGGATACTTAAGAAGATGGACACAGGGCAGCATTGTAGCTTTTTTTTTTTTGCAAATAGAGTAAGACTAGGTAACTTGTACAAAATCCCAAGCAGTCAACAATAAAGCTAGAGAATGAACACTGGAGTCCTCAGTAGAACTATGCAAAATGATTGATTTGTTCTGGTTAACAAAGTGTTCTGAAAAATTTTACAAAAAGTATTGTTTCAGACTGACCAACATGCAAATGTTGGGGAATTTTTTGACAACATTTAAAGTTAAAAACATACAAGTTATTTGGGGGTCAAAGAAATTACTTTATCCAGCCTGAAGTGCTTTGTTTTGCTTAAGGCAGGCAAGGTTCTTTGGTTAGATGTGATGTCTTTTATTGACCAACTGAGTAGTTAGAAAAAAGTTCTTGGCAAGCTTTTGGGGGCAGCCACCCTTCTTCAGGCATGGGGAGTCTCTGCTGCTCTGAGACGCCAAGAAATGAGAGAAGTTAAAAGTGTGGCAGGATGTCAGTGAAAATGTACACAGATAAAAATTAGAAAGACAAAAAGTAAATCAGAGGGGGAGGAGGAAGGGGAAGAGCAGGAGAAAGAAAAAAAAGGCTGAAGGAAGGCATTACAGTGATAGAATACAAGGGTTTTGCTTCAGGGTTTTTAAGCGTTTTAATATAAATAATAAAAATTAAGTCAATGAAGGATCAAAGTGCTTCATGTGAATCCCAGTGTTTGTTGTAGAAAACAGGACGAAAGGGGAACATCACAGCCCTCTCAGGAGTTCAGTGCATTGAGGATTTCTAGATTGGGGGTGGCTGAAATCACTTTTTTAATTTTAATTCATCCAAAAACCACCCACAAAAAAGTTCTGAGTAAAATTATCTCCACAGATTTCTCTGACTAAAAAAAACAAAACAACCCCCAATTTGCAGATTTAAAAAAGTAACCGCACATCCACGTTTCCATGATTAAAATGAGTTCTATGATTAAAATGAAACACCATTAATCTATCCATCTATCTATAGATTAGATAGGTAGATAAAATAGATAAAACAGATGAATCTATCTAATCTAGATAGATAGACCAATCTATCTAGATAGATAGATTATATTAATAGATTAGATAGATAGATTAGAGGGATAGATTAGATTAATACATTGGATTATATAGATATTAGATTAATAGATTAGGTTAGATTAATGGATTAGATTAATAGACTAGAATAATAGATTAAATTGATAGATTAGATTAATAGGTTAGATAGATAAATAGATTAGCTAGATTAAATTAATAGATTGGATTCATATATTAGATTAGATTGACAGATTAGATTGCCTAGATCAGATTACATAGATTAGATATATTACATAGATGGATTAGATAGCTAGATTAGAGAGATTAACAGTATTTCATTTTGCTCACAGAAAAAAAGTGGATTTGGGGCTCCCTTTTTTTTTTTAATCCGAAAATTGTGGATTGTATTTTTTTTCCTCATCAAAGAAAAACCAGGTAATCCCCCATTACCTCCTGGCTCTAAAGCAGAGCCCAGACCGTAGACGTAGTCAGAGGCGAGGCGGAGCAGATTTGCACCTGGGGTCAATTGCGAGGCGGGGCAGATTTGCACCTGAAGGGGACTTCGGCCCACTAGTGCTACACAGCCACACACACGTGCACACCCGACTCAGGTTGCAGCGCAAGGAGCAACCCCTCCCCCACGGCGCCAGAGGGAAGCCCCGCGTAAGCCCCCTTACGTCACTCTCCCCGCGCGCGGTGGGGGGGGGAAGCAACGAAGACGCCACGCGAGGGGGCGGGGCCGGGCGGCACTCCCGGGGCCCCAGCACAGCGGGACCGGCTCGGCCGTCTCCAAGACCGTCTGCAAGGCCACGACCCACGAGGTCATGGGGCCCAAGAAGAAGCACCTGGACTGTGAGTCTCGGGCCCCCGCGCCCTCCTGGCCCGTCCCTCACGGCTCGGGGAGGTGGCGGGAGGTTTACCTGGTGTCTTCCCCCTCGTGCCCCGTATAGCTTTGGGTGGGGGGGCGGTGTTTAAGAAGAGACTAGACACCAGCCCCTGGTCGGGGTCGGGTCGGCATGGATTATCTGCTGAGGTTGCGTTGGACCCTTAAAAAATATCAATATCAATATAATATTGATGAAATGGACCCGCTTTTCTCTGCCTGTGCAGCCCCTCCGGTGAGGGGAGTGTGCGTGGCACGGCTTGATGTGCGGGGAGGGGCGTGGGGGAGACGAGCGTGTGACATGACTCTTCTCTGCCTGCACAGCCCCTCTGAGGGGATGAGCGAGCAAGCGTGTGACATCCCGTTCCTCTGGTAGGGAGAGGATGGGGGGAGGCAGCCAAGTCCAGTCTCGCCGGCCGGCCGCTACTTCGCTTCATTGCTTCCTGCCCCTGGGGTTGTGGCTCGGGCAAGGGTACTTGAGGTACTGGGACCTCCCCCTCCCCCCTTCCGTCTCTCTTATTTCTTGTGAAGGCAGTATCAAATTTATTCAGATAGGCCGTCCTTGCGGATTTGGGGAGGCTGGGGCCGAGTGGGTGTACCCACCCATTGCTTGGTTGATTAAAGACGAGATATTGTGTGGACCAGACCTGCCTTCCTTTCGCTGTGTGTTGTATGAGCTCCCTCTGGTAGTTGGGGCCCCGGGTCCTTCTCCAGCGCACGCTTGCAGTGAGTTGTGAGACCATCAGCATGGCAGAAAGCAGGGAAGGGGGTTCCTGGGAGACGCGAGTTGTATATATAGCCAGGCATCTCTCAGGAAGGTTTACATCTAATGGCTTTTGAATCGGAGGAAGGGGAATGCACAAGAGGAGCACTTGAGATGTTTTGATTTCTGAGTAGCTCAGGAAGATGTCAGCTGCTCCGTGGGGAGACTCGAGGCCCACACAGGGACCTCCTACAAGGTCCTTCCTTTTTCTTCCTGCATGGGTCTCCCTTGCTAAGGCTGTGAGTAAACAAAATAAATAAATAATGATTTAAAAAAAAATGAAGGTGGCATCCCATATATCCTTCATTGCAACCCCTGAATCTTTTCCTACCCAACCTGACTTCATCCATTAAATGCTTAAATTGTGAGTAACCTCGACCCATATACAGGATACACCATGTTGTACTGCCCTACTTAAGAAATCGCAGTGTTCCTGAATTAAATAACTAGAAGGCTGGGGGTGGGGACGGAGCATCTTCCACAGGGCCTACTGCCAGTTGCACAATGAAAGGGGACATGAGGAGCAAACTCAAACTAGCCCTGCTAAAGTCTGTGCACCACTTGAATTGCCTTGCCCTCCAGCATGCTCTCTATAGGGTTTGCTGAAGTAACCAGACTGCCACCCTTCAGGGGCTAATGCAAGAGAGGATGGTGGACCTAACCAGGGATGTCCAGGGACACTTGTGCACTATAAACAGTTGTTGTTAAAGGGGAGAGGTGGTTAGCTGTGTTAGCGTGATGTCAGGCAGAAAGCAGGACAGTGTGGCATGCTGGAGACCAAGTGGTTTAGAGAGGCATAAAATTTTGTAAGGTGTTGCCATCATCAGATGCTATCTGACTTTGGAGTTTGCACAAGTGTTGTGTTGAGGGGTACAAGAGCATCATCCTTCATACAGATCATTGCCTAGATGTTTGATATATTTTGAACTACCAAACACAAGCTTGCCTCAAGCTGCTAGAAGGTTGAAAGAGCTTTTCTTTATGCTCCCACTGTACTGAAGCCACTTTGCTGTTGCAAGAATTAGATTTCTGCTGCCTCGTTTGGCTTGTGAATTGCTCAAGTTTCTGCTTCTGTGTTGTGGATTTTTTTTCTTTGGAGCAGATAGACAGACAAAAAATAATTTAATGTCAAACTTATTGCTACTTGCTTATTTTAGACTGTAGCTATATCACTTTTAATCTGGTCTTCAGCAAGCCTATATGCAAGAGCAGCTCTAGTGGAAGTGCTCTTATGATAACATTAAGAAGGTGGCACAAAGTTTTATGTTGGGGAAATGTGTTCTCTCTTTTTCTGTCCCTTAAGGTTGCATAGCTTTTTAGGTCCATCTGAGTAAGGTCTCTACACCTTTGTTCCCCATACAAAATTACCTTCTCAATTCTCCTACACTCAAGCTATGCCTTCCAACCATCAGGTGATAAGGATTTTTTATGTAGCCTGTGAGTCATGGTAGTCCTGACACCAGCTTGGTGGAGGCAGGTGCAGTACATCTACTTACCAAGTCAGAAATCTTCTTAGCTACTCTTTATTATCAGGTTGATTTAAATGAAAATTGAAACCTGCTATTGGTAAGAAGCAGAACATGTCCTAGGCAGGTTGGTGATGTAAACTTTGCAATGCTTTCCTGCACTCCAGTGGTAAGATTCCCAGTTCCCTTCTAAAATGGGAGATTATAGAAATCTAGAATACATTTTGGTGATTGTATGGATTCCATAACCTGTAAGCTTTCAGAATGGACAGGCCCAAAAATGAAATGGCTATTCTGTCTGTAGATTTTGAATGGTTGCATTCTCAGTATTTATTTACCACTGCATAGTGTCACCTTACTTCCATAAATTATCAGCATCCAAAAAGACTTCCTGGATGGATAGCCTCTCCTGTTTTTTACCACTGCTCTCTTCATGAGTTACGGTATTATGGAGCCTCAGAACTGATAATTCACCTTCTTTGTTTGCATCTCTTCCCTCTACAACTCATCTTCCTCAGCCACCCATTAGCCATGTAATCATCAAATGCAGGAAGTACTTCCTGGCCTGTAAGATGAAAACCCTAGTCTCCTGCAAAACAGTGTGCTGCCTTGCCTATTACAAAGCTCTTAGTCACTTTGTTGCTTGGAAGAGGAGAGGGAGTGAAAGATCAAAGTTTATAGCTTGGACATGGACTTTGTTCTAGCCAAGCTGCCTTTTTTTGTTACCTTGCTGAAGTGGCCTGCCCTTCCTCTTCATCTGTCACTGGGTTTTTTTCCCATTTTATTTACTAATTTAGATGCTGACGTTGAAACTAGGCTTCCGTGCTTAATGCTTTTCAACCTCTCAAACTACAGTTCTTAATACTCCTTTAACACGGAACCTGGTTTCACTGAGCTTTTTTTGCTAGTTCTAAGTTCTCATCTGTAGAAAAAAGGCTTTGCTTTTCTGCATTGATTTATGCAAATTTGACCTGTAAATGTCTTGGGGGTGACCTCTTCCTTTTTGTTTAATGCTTTGTTTTCTGTAATCAGTACTCTTTGTTCTGAGAACAATAAATGCTTGAAGTTCTGTTTGAATCTAATTGGTGCTGAAAAATCTCCTGCCAGAACTTAAAGTCATCTTCAGATAATTCTGGGTGAAGTAGTTTACAGTGGTGCAGGACACTGATGGGTCATTTTCAAAAATGGGAAATAAAACAGATAATGCCAAGTAGAGCTTGCTGAAAACTCTGTCAAGTCAAAATCTTCCCTCTTGCCAGGACTGAGAAGAATCAAGAGTGTATTTTCCAATTCTAGTTAAAAGCTTTGATGTAAAACACATTTAGGGTTGGGTCCTTGAACAAGCCTGGTATAATAACTGTTGGCTTATGGATAATGGACTGGTGCTTCTTACAGGAGAACGTGGATGGATAGCTTGAAAGGAAGTTGCAAGGCTGTAATTATCCAGACTTAACAGGAAATCTCTCTGTAGCCACGCCAGAGTAGAACTTCATTGGCTTACTTTGACACACAGCAATGTTCTTTTAAAAAAGAGAATAAATTGGTTAACTTAGTGTTGTTTCTCTCTCTTAGTTACAATAGTAGGTCTTTGTGAGAAGCTTTTCTGTGAAACCAGTAAAACTCAACAGAGTTGGTATACTTAGCAGTCTATTATAACTTCCAGCCCTGTGCATCTTGGTTTTACTAAAAGAAGTCAATAACTACTACCTACACCTGTGGACTACCTATCTACCTTCACCTGTGGACTCTACTTTAGTCTAGATTGTAGTTGTATGCTTCTAGGTGTGGGGCAAAAACATTCAGTAAGACAGTTTGTTCCTGGGTGGCTTATGTTTTAAATGACAGGATAAAGGAGAAGAAAGTATTGTTGCACTGCTGAAGATGGAGAACTAAGCCACAGACACTAGCAGCATTTTCAGTCGGCACCATACCTAGACTTCTGGTTGCTCTGGATGAACTTTTAGTATCGGACCCCCTTATGCCAGAGATGAAGATGATAATACTCCTCCCCCCACCCCATATTCAACCCCCTCTCTGTCTGGGCCCCAGGGTGCTGCCCAGTTTGCCCATGCCTGTGTTGGGTGCTGTTCTCGGTCTTGTAGAGGAAGTCGATGGAGTTGACCAGGGTCCTTGTCTGTAAAACCAATAGTTTTTAAAACTGACCGTTTTGATTCTAATTTTTGAAGTGGCAACAGAGTAGCCACTTTGTGCTCATAAACTGCTAAGGAACAGATCACTTCAGTAGTATTGAAATGCCTTTTTTTCTTCATATTTCCAGGCTTCTTGGCAAGATGACCAGACGTACCATCTGGTCTTCCTTGCTTGTGTTCACTGAAAGATTTCTGGAGGTAATCTATGGCAATTCTTGATTATCCTGAAAATCGGCATAATTGCATCATTGACATTTCCTTTCAGTCTGTTCATCTTTCTCTCTGGATTCCTCCATGAGTCTTTTTAGTATCTCTCCTTTTTTTTGTCTTGCACTTCTCACTTCTTTTTCCTTGAATCCATCAGAAACATCACCTCTTGACTTGTCTTGTCTTGTCAGGAAACAAGGGCTGTGATACTCTGAATCACCAAATTTGGGGGTGGGGGGGGGTGACCATACATTTACAGAAAGAATAGTAATTTGGTTCTGCAGCTGTTGTCTTACTTTGCTTAGTCTCCAGCAGTTGTCAGCTTCAACTGTTTCTTTAGAGTTTCTTTGCTTTTACTTTATATTTACTGAACACCTGGATTC